TTTAATAAGAACTAGTTGCAAGAAAAGCAATAATGTGAAAAAAGAAATAGAGAAAAAAAAAAAAATATATATATATATAGTGAAAGTAGCTCAGTTACTAAGCTTAACAGGTTAATGTTGTTTCATAACATGTACATTTGTTACCAGAATAAAAAAATATCTATAAGAACATCTATAATACAGATGCATCAACAGTGATCTAGAGTACTTGTACAGGTACACTTTAACATACGTCAACAGTGTTATCTACAGTGATTACACCTCTAAACATATATGTATTCTAATCAAATTGTTTATTCTAGTTAAGATAACGATATTGTTTGTTCTGATGCTATTGAAATGTGTTGTGATTCACACTGTCTTCTTGTAATCAGTGTTCTATAACACAATTTGTGTACACAGATAAAATATCTAGATCACTAAAGAAAATGTGATGCAGATCAAAATATAGATGCATTCTGTTATTCTGAAAATATGATTGATGTGATATAAGATTTGAGTCATCATACTAATTCTGATTTTTGAGAAACAGGGATGAGATGGTTTTTCACTTGTGCTTCTGTACATCAGTTATTACATTACAAAAATGTCATAATTTACATGGTTCTAAGATAACTTTCATATACTAGTAACACCCTATAAGAGTATATCGTCTGTACAGTGAACATGAAAAGTATGGTAAATCTTTGGACAGAATAGTTCCTTATTATAAACTTCCGATCAAAGCGAGCTACAATACCTACATAGACCAGAACTAAACATATATACCTAGTAATGAATGTAGTTACTTAAATATAATGTTTAAACAACATTACTTGTAAATAATTAGAATGTATTGTTCGAACAATTTGGTACCCTTGCTGTTAATGATATTTTCAGATATAAACCAAATAATATATCATAAAGTTGGCCAGCCCAGGGGGCTTAGTCTACTCTAAAATCCATATACAAAGTTAACAAACCAGAGTAACCATCATAATAAAATAATTTAATGTACTAATTTTGTTATTGACTTACATTTACTTCAACTTGCTTTTTATTAAAGTACAATTTTCAACAGATGTAAAGATTAATTATTTGAAAGTAAGATCTTTAATTTCTCATAATACATGTAAATATGAAACCTTTTTACAAGATTTTCAAAATATATACAAAAAAATGTACACTTGTGAGTAATATGAATATACTATCTTTGTTGAAAATTCAGGTCAACTACAGCAGCTATATGTAAACAGTTACTGCATGTAAATACTTATTTTTGAAGAACCGATGTATCTGAAACATAACTTGCAAAGTCAACAACTTCCAACTGAAGTATGTAAAATTATATTTTAAAAAGAGAAAAACAAAAATAAAGAAATATACAAAATTCTACATGCTTTATCATAGAATAAAGTCAAAAATAAATTTGTAATAAATTTACTTTTACTGATGTTTGCTGATCTCATCTGCTCTTCTGACACACATCCATTAGCATTAATAAAAGTACCATTAACCCATTAACTGCGGCAGGAGCAGCTCAGTTGCCGTTTTCTGACTCACAGATAAAACTGAGTTGCACAATAAAATAGTAATTTTCATCATTTGCATAGAGTTATAGTTATATATGTGCAAGTGACGGATATTTCTGTCATTCGCAACTGGGCCATAGAACTTCAATGACGGAAATATCAGTCATCCGCAGTTAATGGGTTAATATCATGAAAAACGAGGCAAGCAAAAAAGATAAAGAAATACAGTTCATTCATCAAGGCTAACCATACAAAGCCTTTCCAGGAAAATATAAATTTAAATGTATGTACGTATGTCTTTTCATAAACCCATCTAAAAAGAGTTAATGCTGTTATTCAAAGGTACATTTGCTAGCAAAAAATTGAAGCAATTTATAAACATTTGAAGGTTTATGAGGCAGCATTCAAGCA